TCTTCCTCTCTCCTTCCTCTCTTCCTCTCTCCTTCCTCTCTCTTTTCTCTCTCCTTCCTCCCTCCCTCCTTCATCTCTCTTTTCTCTCTCCTTCCTCTCTCCTTCCTCTCTCCTTCCTCTCTCCTTCCTCTCTCCTTCCTCCCTCTCTCCTTCCTCCCTCTCTCCTTCCTCTCTCTTTCCTCTCTCCTTCCTCTCTCCTTCCTCTCTCTTTTCTCTCTCCTTCCTCTCTCCTTCCTCTCTCTTTTCTCTCTCCTTCCTCTCTCCTTCCTCTCTCTTTCCTCTCCCCTTTCTCTCTCCTTCCTCTCTCCTTCCTCTCTCTTTTCTCTCTCCTTCCTCTCTCCTTCCTCTCTCTTTCCTCTCTCCTTTCTCTCTCCTTCCTCTCTTCCTCTCTCCTTCCTCTCTCCTTCCTCTCTCCTTCCTCTCTCTTTTCTCTCTCCTTCCTCTCTCCTTCCTCTCTCTTTCCTCTCTCCTTTCTCTCTCCTTCCTCTCTCTTTTCTCTCTCCTTCCTCTCTCCTTCCTCTCTCTTTCCTCTCTCCTTTCTCTCTCCTTCCTCTCTCCTTCCTCTCTTCCTCTCTCCTTCCTCTCTCTTTTCTCTCTCCTTCCTCCCTCCCTCCTTCATCTCTCTTTTCTCTCTCCTTCCTCTCCGTGTCCTTCCTCCCTCTCTCCTTCCTCCCTTCTTTCCTTCCTCCTCTTTCCTTCCTCTCCCTCGTCCCAGTCTCCCTCTCCCTCTCCCTTCTCAAACCCTCCTCTCACCCTTCCTCCACCTCACTACGATGATCCATGCGCGCTCTCACCCCTCCCTCCCTCCCTCCCTCTCTCTCTCTCTCTGTTTGTCTTTCCCCTCCCTCCCTCCCTCCCTCCCTCTCTCTCTCTCTCTGTTTGTCTTTCTGTCTCTTCTCTGTTAAGGTGGGATTGGTGGCCACGAGCGATCACGAAAACGCGAGAGTTCTGCACGAAATGAGGTTCGATCGTCAAAAATTGAGGAAAAATTGTGATTTTGTCGATTGAAGAAAATTGCGATTTTGAGTTGCCCCGCTCGACCCTTACGCACGAAATGAAGTTCCATCGTCAAAAACTGACGAAAAATTGTGATTTTGAGTTGTCTTTTTCGGGTTCCCACGCGTAATACGACATTTTGGTAGTAGAAATTTGATGAAAATTTGTCATTATGCTGCGGCCGGTCAGGTCTGGATGCGGGTTCCCAAACATAATGCGACATGTTGGTAGTAGAAATTTGATGAAAATGTGTCCTTATGCTTCGGCCGGTCAGGTCTCGAAGCGGGTTCCCAAGCATAATAGGACATGTTGGTAGTAGAAATTTGATGAAAATGTGTTATCATGCTGCGGCCGGTCAGGTCTCGAGCGGGTTCCCAAGCATAATAGGACATGTTGGTAGTAGAAATTTGATGAAAATGTGTTATCATGCTGCAGCCGGTAAGGTCTCGAAGCGGGTTCCCAAGCATAAGATGACATTTGTGCATGTAAAAGCGTTTGCGTGTAAAAGCGTTTGTGTGTAACGGCATCTGTGTGTAAAAGTGTCTGTGTGTAAAGGAGCCTGTGTGTAAAGGTGTCTGTGTGTAAAAGCGTCTGTGTGTATTTTAAATACATTGTCTTGATACTAACAACAGAGCAACTTGCTCCTCCACACTATCGGGCCATCCGTCGTCTAGTTTTTCTTTTGTCGGGTCTGTCATAGAGTGGCTTTTGAGTGACTTCGACTGAGCTGCCAGAGCTCAGAACGCAAGGTCGACAGCACAATACTTGAAATCGTGCCAGAAGGCTTAAGGCACATGGATTCACAAGGACTGCCAGGCCGCTCAAGAGTTTTTGCACCTTGCTATTAGCTATTGTAGCCTCACATATAGGTACTGCGCGCGGTTCCATGTGAAATCCTGATTTCTGGACAGCGACTTTGAATACCCGCTGACACGATCACCGCCGGGACGGCCCAACAGAAAAAACGCCCCACGCACGCTCACTGCTACAATAACATAAGTAACATAAGCAAGGATGAAAAGAAGAAGTACAAGGTAATATAAAATACACCTGACATACCACTAGCAGCCATGTATAAAGCAACACAACCCAGCGATATCAAGGTGTTGCAAAACAAACACTGTTAACAACAGCATGATCAGGAGCAACAATACAACCAATGGACAACCATGAGGATGACATGAGAATCAGGGAATAAAGGGAGCCAAGCATATGGTCAGTATCCGGGTCTCGGGGCAATTCGAATTCAACGCTCGCATGAAACCAACAACGCCTCTACGGCGGCACGACATAGTTTCAATAAATATGTTTCAATAAGCTTCAATATAGGCGCAAAGGGCTCCGCATCAGTAATATGGCGCACTTGGGATCGGATAGGCCCAAAATAAGACCAACGCTATTGTAGGGGGCCTGGGCATGCAATGGCCCTCAAATCACTCTGGCAATAATTTTTACAAAGTGGGTTTCTCCCTGCTTCCTGATAGTTTTGCATCTATTGTGAGTCAGTGACTTTTTGCTGACTAATCTGATTTTTGTAAAATGTTGTAACATGTTGTAAAATGTTCTATATAAATAAAATGATCGAAGGAAGTTTAGAAGTCAAACTTCCGACAATATTGACAGATGAAAAGCAGAGGTGGGAAGAGTCAGAGAAGAGAAGAGAAGAAGAAAGAGAAAGAGTCAGAAGAAAGAAGATCCAGGTGCGCGAAAAGGTAGGAAAGTCGCGAAACACTGTTTTTCTAATGATTTGTGGCTCCGATAGGGTCGAAAAGTAGGCTCGCTAAAGCGGCGGGTGCGGAGCCAGCTGGCCAGATGAGAGATGAAAAATTGCACGTCGTTATGGCGCGAAGCACATTTCGAAGTCAAAAGTGCAAAAAAATGACGGGTTCGCAGCACTTTTCGAAGATGTCGAAAAAGTGCACGCTGTTGTGGCGCGAAGCACATTTCGAAGTCAAAAAGCACAAAGCACACACACTAGGTCTGGACCACTTTTGGAAGTTGAGATGTCGAAAAAGTGTGCGACGTTGTGGCGCGAAGCACATTTCAAAGTCAAAATGTACAAAACACACCAGGTCCGGACCACTTTTGGAAGTTGAGATGTTAAAAAAGTGCACGCGGTTGTGGCGCGAAGCACATTTCGAAGTCAAAATGTGAAAAACACAACGTGTTTGGACCACTTTTGGAGGTTCAGATGTCGTTTGGCGTGGCAGGCGCAAGGGATTGTGCATCTTGAGCAACACGTGAGGGTCTTGTCGCATTTCCAAAAACGATGGCAGGCGTGGGACATTTGAAGAGGATCTGCCAAGATGAATTTTCCGTGGCAGGCACAGTACAAGAGACATGTTTGTCAGAGATGCTAGGAGGTCCGGGCGCTGATTTCCTGAGAGGGGTTGCATTTTGGAGCATCAGATCTTCAGTTTTGGGAATATGATTTTGCGTGACAGGTGCAGCACTTCGTATGACCTGGCCTCACTTTTTCGTGGCAGGCGCAATACTTTAGACAGGTGAAGTGGAAATCGCAAAACGCATTGGTATGAGGCTGTCAGCTCTGCACTCAACTTTCGATTTTTGAAGGAAGTCTCGCAGAATTGCTTCGTTTTTGATGTTGTCAACTTCGAAAAATGAGGAAGTCTCGCAGACTTGTTTCGTTTTTGATGTTGTCAGGTTCAAAAATTGAGGAAGTCTCGCAGAATTGCTGCGTTTTGAAGCTTACAGTTAGACAAACAGATAGATAGATAGATAGATAAATAGATAGATAGATAGATAGATAGATAGATAGATAGATAATCAGATGTGAGAGAGAGAGAGATAGATCGATAGATAGATATATAGATAGATAAGGTAGGTAAGTAAATAGTCAGAGAAAGAGAGAGAAAGAGAGGAGACCTCAACCACCTTTCGGTCCATCAGTGGCTTCGCTCTGCCATCCGTGATTCACAACAACCAACCTCTCCTCTAGGTTTCCTATTTTTGAGACTTCCGCCACCGCCTTGTGCGGTACTACTGGTATGGTCACAATCAGATTCAAATGGAGGACTCAAATCGTCCTCCGCCATCGCTACCAGTGACCGGCGGCGATTTGAATAAACACCAAGACCCAAAGCTACATTTAGCTATGGCCCGAAAAGGTTCAACAAGGACACCAAAAACGTTGTGTCTGAAAGAACAAATTTGAGACGGCCGCCCCCGAACAACAATATGTTTTCGTATATTAGTCAGCGTTTTAATTCTTATTCGGTCCTCATGGATATTTATGGTGATATGATGTGATATGTGTTTTCGGATTGGTGGTAGACTTGGGAAACATTGACTTTCCTGTGAGGAGAAAAACATTTGGCGGGAAAGCCGGCGCCACCTCAAGCTGCTGGCGCGCTATGTCTCCTTTTCACTGGGGGTACCTTCCGCGGCCGATGTGTTGTATCAATCTCAGTTTCAGAAGTCCAGGAGGAAACGGAGCACTGGATGAGTTGTCAAAGGGGCCATTAACTTTTGTATTTTTCGGAAAAATCACATTTTTGGAGGTTTGATAATTGAGACTTGTAATTGTAATGGCTGTTAGGAGTGTTCCTCTACGGTTGATGCATTTGAAGAAAGTACTTGAATGTCGTGCTCTTGGAACAGCCAAGGTGATAACGCATGCCATGGTCGAGCATGAGTGGCAAAACTACTCTGAGTGCCTGGAGGTTCAGTTTCCGCTTCGGATAGCAGCTCATACGTCTGTGTATTGGGGTGCTTCTGCTTTGGGGCAGCTTAGCATAGCTCTGGCCTTTGGTGGCTGCGCAGTGCTATGTGAAGCGCGAGATACAGAGGACTTCAGAAGAATCATCAAAGATCAGGCCGTAAACACGATTGGGCTTGTGCCAGATCAGCTGAAACTTCTGGCTGATGATCCGTGCGTGGAGCTCCAGGATATAGAGGCAGTTTTCATTTGGGGTGAGAAGCTCCCCGTCAATGTCGCCCAAAGGTGGTCCCACCATCCAAAAGCTAAATTGAGAGAGCTTTTAGTCTCCACTGAATACTGGCTCTCTTTTTATTCTGCTCCACTGGAAGGCATTGGCCGACACAAGATTGTCAAAGGAGTTGAGATATTGATTGTTGATGAACTTGGACAACCTGTTCAGGATGGAACTGGGGAGCTGCTGATTCATGGAAAAATGGTTACTGCTGGCTTGGTAGGGCCTGAGACTTCAGAAACCACTTCTTCCTTCACAGAGATAGACGGCAAGCGTTATTTCCGCACACGTGACTTGGTACAAAAGTGGCCAGACGGTACTCTGGAGTTTCGAGGTCGAGCTGACATGACCATGAAACAGGGTGGTCAATGGGTTGACTTAGTTTCAGTGGAAAGCAAACTACAACAGCTGCATGGTATTGAAGAGGTGGCAGTGCTGTCAGATCCAGGTGGAAGTAGCATGTTGCATGCTTTTCTTGTCCTGAAGGATACTAGTGAAGAAGAGCTTGTGAATGTATCCCAAGAAGCACGCCGCTTTCTGCCTCGCGGAAGAATACACACCCTGTGTAGTTTGCCGAGACATCATGTGACTCGAAAAGTAGATCTCCGCAAGCTTGCTGAGTTGGCAAAAGGCCATGCAGAAAGTTGGCCGTTAAATCCAGAATCGATCCCATCTCAGCTGATCATCGACCGTGCGAGGCAGAAGGTCAGAGAACATTTCTGCTGGACGCTTTTGGCATTGTTGACAGCACTCCTTTGGGATTTCAAGTCCTTCATTAGGCTCAAACGGCCTTCTGCATCTGCCCTTGGGCTGCTTCTCTTGCCGTATATGCACTTGGGCTTCTTGCATGCAGTAGATGCAGACAGCTCACTTGGCACTTGTGCAGTTGCGTTGTCGGAAGTCCTATGGGCATTTGGGGAGCAATGTTTTTGTCATTTCTCTCTCGAGGAGCTGTCGAGTGGTGGTTTGACAACAAAAGCGCATGGAACATTGGCCTTTCCAACAGATACATGGGATTCAGTCAACTTCTGCATTTGGCACCCAATCTTTTTGTAGGCCTTTGGGCTGGATTTGGAGCTTATCACAGCATTCGAAGAGGTCGACTCCTAGCATATCCCTTGGTCTTTTGGTCTGGCATTGGGCATCGTTTGCAGTATGACTTGGAAAGATGGTGCACCATCCGGTACTGGAAGTGGTACATCTTCGATGTCGTAGCTGGCGCACCAAAGTGGATCTTCCACAGGTTCTTTCCACAAGCAGGTAGAAGAGATGAACTTCAAGGAGTACAGAATGGAGAGGCAGCTGAGGCAGCTGAGGCAGCTGAGGCAGCTGAGGCAGCTGAGGCAGCTGAGGCAGCTGCACCAACTGAAAATGTGGAGGCAGAAGTGGCAGAACTCATATGCTCATTTTGCAGCAGAAGAATGGTTGCTGCATGGCCTCCCCCATTGATAGCCGAGAAGTTTCCTCTTCTGCCACCTGCTATAGTGAATGGATGCAACGATAGGAACGGTGCACCTGTTTGTTGGTCCTGTTGGGTTCCAGCTTCCGCAGCCGCTGAGACAGAGTGTCGCTCGTTGGCAGAGCAGCTGCTGAAGGATGAGGACAGCGCTGAGAAAGAGACACATCGAGAAGGAGAACAAGGGGTCGAAGGAGAAAGTGAGGATCAAATTTGGACCCCAGAAGAAAAGAATCAGTATGATCGGTGGTGGTGGAAGAACAAAACAGTGGATTATGTAGAATTGAAGCAGTCGGCAGAAGAACTAAAGCAGTCGGCTGGTTTTGCGGCGCCAGTTCTTGCAGACATCAAAGACCCCCAGCAAAGGAAGGTCTACAAGATAGTGCAAGATGTTCTTCGAATGCAAGTGACAGATAACATGTCGTTCCATGGCCTGGACAGTCTGGTGCTTGGTTCACTTCTTTTGAGACTCAGGGCTGAATTTGGCATCAGCTTGAGTATTTCTCAACTTCGAAATGCATCGCCTCAAGAGCTCCCACAGGTCCTGGAACAAGCCCTGGAACTGCAACCGCATTCGCAAAATGGAACACACTCTGGAAACGTGGATTCCGACCGTGAATATGCGGTTTGGTTTTCTCCAGGACAGTACTTTCCAATGGGAGGCTGGGTGCTTCGGAAGGACGGAGAAATTTGTTGTGACAAGCTGGAAAAGGCTGCATCGGAGGTCATTTCCAGGCACAATGCTCTGAGAGCCTTTCCTGCAGACCCCCTTCGTTTGTTGTCCTTCATTTTGGACACAGCGGTGTTGTTCACCTTGGTGAGTAGATTGCTGGACCGTAATCCTGTGACACGTTGGATAAGGCAAAGCATCTCTTGGGCCTTGAAAAGTTCCTGGGCGAGAGTTGTGGTGAGAGCTCCGGAGGCTCTTTATGGCCCAGGGCTTCAGCGTCCGTTGGTGCAGATTTCTGTTACAGATCAGCAAGCTGCCGAGCATCATCTGAAGCATCGTCGCCAGATCTTGTCACAGACTGGCTCTCCAGTTGACATTGCTTTGATTCAGCTTCACGCAAGACTTGAAGGTCTTTGGGTGTATGGAGCAAATGGGGGCATGGGTGACTTTTGCATTCTTGCATCCAAAAAGAACTCGCTCGGCGAGTCCGAACTGCTGTTGGTTGACAGAAATCGAAAAGAAGCGGCACGTCTGTGTGGGCCCACAGATTCGGGATGGATACCCCCGCCATATGGTTTTCCTGCTTTATTGTCAGGCCGCCTTCACCCGGCAGAAGCTGGTTGCGATGGTGGCGGAGTGATCTGGTTGCGACTGAAGGCATCCAATCACTTGGCCATTTTATGGAGGAAATCAGCTTCAGCGAAGCCTCGTCGCTATGAAGCCTTCCACATGCCTGGAGAAGAGCTTCGTCACAGAGTCTTCAACTATTTAGTGGTTCACGCGATGCATATCATTGCCGATGGACAAAGCTACGAGGCCATAGTTGGAGACCTCCTTTCGCTGTACTCTGACATGAAAGTACCTCCAATCCTTTCCAATGGCCTCAGCATTTTGCAGACACGTTTGTTTGATGCTTTGGATGCCTCAGAGGTTGGGAAAAATCCCCAATTGTGCTCATTGCGTGGGAGCCAATGGAGGTGCACCAAGACGGGATATGGCCACATTTTGGGTTTCAGGAAGTCGGTGTTGTCTTCCTTGCGCAGAGTGGCCTCCAGGCACTCTGTTCCCTTTGATGCAGCTTTACTTGCCTTGACAGCCATTGCTGTAGCAAGTGCCACCGGCGTTGAAGAGTTGGAATTCACTTTGTATGTTCCTTTGCGCGATGGTGTCGGTGAAGCTGGTTTGTGTGGTCTCTTTGCTGACTGGCGTGTGCTTTCAATTGAAGTAGACAAAGCAACTGCTACGGTGCTAGGTGTTATTCAACAAGTTGGCCACAAAATCCGCTGTCGGCAATGGAAGGTCTACAATGCACTGGAAAAGCCTGAAGCAATGATGGTGAATTTCCAGCTCTTGGATTCGGCAGAACCATCAAGTAGAGCTGGCTTTACACAACTAGGTGAGGAGCTGTGGCGCATAGGCGAGTGCATGAAGGAGGATGTGCGTAACAACGACCCACTGCCACGTATTCCCCAGCCAATGTCCTTCGCTGGGACCTCAGAAACTCAGACATGGCACTGGGAGTTGCTGTCAGTTGATGCCAGTTCCTGTTCTGGATGTAGTGATGCAGTGAACTATCGTACTGTAGTAGTGAAGTAGCAAGTAGCAGTGAACGAGTAATGAACTAGGAGCACCGCAGGTGTAATTGAATCATCTTGATTGGAAAGTATTCGGAAGTATTGGAAGAAGTATTATAAAACATTAAAACAATAAATAGATGATAAATATAAAGAATATAATATTTATAGAGCATGTTTCTGAGCAATGTCGAAGAATCTTAGTCAACTCATCTCGTGCCGTGCAGGTCATTGAGGAAGGCGACAAGGAGACATGGTGGCTGCTGATTAATTGTTGCTATCGGGACTATCCACCTCCAATTTTACGCCGGATGCTGAAAGCCTTTCAGGATGCAGCAGAAGCTTTTGTCAACAAGCCAACTGCCAAAGCGCATATCTCGTTTCCTGATAATTTCTATTGATGTTGAATTCCCATGATTCCCATGGTATGCAACATGACAACTGGTTCTGTTGCTGGCCGGAACTTTGATATTCTAACTGCTTTCCGAAGCAAAAGAGCAAGGGCGCTCGCTACCAGGCTTGCTGAACTGTTCAGTAATCTTTTTCCATCATTTTCCCTTCTGTGGTCTTACGTTGTAGATCACCTTTTCTAAGTGATATGCTTCGTACGTTGGGATTTGTTCAAGAACCTTGCGAGATTCACAATCTTACAAAATTGCAAATATGGTACAACTTTGGGATTTTTGATAATTTGCAATTTTTGATAATTCACAATCATACAGCTCACTTATTGCATGATAAGTCAGACGCCAATAGCATGACAGGCATGGCTGTGACAAAGCTGCACTGCAGCGTAATTTCGTCGCTGTGTTCATCCCTTCGCAGCTCTCTCTCTCAAGCGATCTTGAAACATAACGGTTGGTAAACATACAAAAAGCTATTGAAAATGGCCATTTATAGTGGAATTTCCCATGAAAAATGGTGATTTTCCATAGCTATGTTAAATTACCAGAGGGTAACGGTTGGTTGACTCGCTGATTTTTTTGTGAAACTTATTTGACGCAAAGTGCATGACGTTCTTTGAAAGATTTTCAGATTTCCTGCACACAGCACGCCAATCGCTTTTCTGGGAATTCAGGTGTTGCCACGCGTACTTAGCTATTGATCCCCTTTGTGCTTGACCTGTTTCGAGATTTTATCAGAGTCAAAGTTTGGTTTCCAGTCCAGAGGCAACCTTTTGCAAGAAAATGCAGCACTGTAGGTTGATGGAATTTATCACTTAGTGCAAAAAACATGGATGGGCAACCTGTGGAAAAGAATGCTGAAGTTCGCTTACGAAGACTCCACGTGATCATGAGGAGGTAACTGTTGCCTTTCGATCAGGTTTGCACCGATTGCCCTTTTATATTGTTCTCGCTTTTGCACTTGCTTGTAGTCAACACTTCTTTGCCTATGTCCAGCACGTGCTGATCATGCTCGAGGGACAATGTGCCCGTATCACACAGCAAGCAACTTACAAGACAGCGTGGCATAGTGTAAACCAGAGTTCAAGTCTTGGTGCAGGCAGATTTTCATAGACCACTGTAAGCCCTTCAAGATAAGCAGAAGATCAGGCTAAATGCACAAAGTCAAGAGGTCCGTAGAATAATTGCAAACATATTATATGCAATTATAGTGACCGTTAGTGCACATATATCCAGAAGCATCATGATTTCGATGATTTCATACTAACCCTAAACAAAGCATGCCCCTCACGACCCTGGTAATTCACCAGCTGGAGATATTTCATGTTCACCAAGCAAAATCATCTGAAAACTGCCCAAACTTGAAGCAGGAGTTGTTTTCCTTCTTCCAAACTATAGAAACCTCCACATACGCATGGGTGACCTTTATGTTGCAAGCATCTTGCTGGGACACGCAGTACACTGAAGCTACATGCTGCCCATTGTCACACGGCCAGAGGGAAATCCAACTTGCTGGGATGGTCTGCACTTTATTATCAACGGTGCTGTCCTCCCAAGACCCTACTTTCAAGATCTTTCAAGCACATGTGCACCACAAAGTTCCTTCGTAGCAGTGGCAGCGACTGTGCTGGTTAGTGCAGGGCTGCTTCTAGTCAGGCCTCCATTTTGCGAGGAGAAGCAACTGCAGGAGGGTGGAAATAGATTGAATCACGAGTACAGTGTCGACAATGCAAAATTCTTGACGTCGATCTTCTTCGTTCTAGCCCGCATTTGTGGAGGCTCACCAGCAGATAAGCCTGCAAGCGGATTGCAGCGATTCGCTTTCACTTACCACTGTCGTGTATGATTTCTGGAGCCCTTTTTTTTTCAAAGGTTCTGACAGAGGACCAGTGGGATGGGCACAGAATTGCAGGTCCTACTAGCACTCCTTGTTGGAATGCTGGGGGCGTATTCACATTACAGAGAATGGCCCATTGAAATCACAACACTTTGGCCATTTTTTTCTTTTGGGCAGCTTTTCCTTCGGCATTGAATTTTTGCTGGATTTCTTGTCGGTCGATCATGCCTGAGTCTCTGCGACTTGTCTTTGGGTGGACTCTGCTTACCGCCTGGATTTGCAGTCAATTCTGCGGAATGTGGAGCCTCGGCGTCAGGAATTTGCTGCTTTTCAGGATATCATCGCATCAGAATGTGAGGCAGATATTTAATTAACAATGATATTCCACTAATTAATGATATTAAGGGCTGTCGCCCCTGCCGCCGACCCCGGAAGGACTGAAAGAATTCCTGAAGCAAACCCTCCAAGAGATGTAAAGCTTTAAGAAACGCGAAACCCGAGCGAATCCCAGAGAATCTCTACATGAAAGTCTAATTCTTTTGTGTTATTCTCGTCTGTTTGGATCCTAAATGAAATGAACCCTAAAGAAACCAGAAACTGACTTAAACAAACTATTTGTATGAAACTTTAAATAGCATCCTAAAGAGACCCGAGACGACACTCTAATAAGCTTTGAAGGAAATCCTAAATGGAACCCAAACATAACGCTTGGACATGTCTTACCATGGTTCCGCTCGTGCAATTAGATGGACTTTGGCTGGTATGTACGATGCAATGTAAAGTTATGTAGTGTAATTTTGTGTAAAGTAATGTAAATGTACTGTCATTGTATTGCATTGGAACGTAATGTAATGCAATGTAATGTAATGTAGGGTGTATGTATGTAGATATATATATATACATAGACAATATAAGTAGTTAAATGCTACAGATATGTAAGTTGCTACAGATGTATACTAGGATGCTGTTCTTGAAAATAAAGACTATAGCCAGGACCAGGACGAAACAGTAACTAGTCTGCCGAATAGGCAGTGTCCTGAACAGGGACGTTTTTATACGTTTTTGTTTTTTCTTAATAGGAAACATATGTAGTCCAGGACTTTGTCCTTGGAGTTATATATATATATATACCAGGACTTTGTCCTTGGAGGTACATATATAATCATATATATATATAGATAGATATATAAGTAGTTAAATACTACAGATATGTAAATTGCTACAGATGTATATTAGGATGTTGTCCTTGAAAATACATATTATAGCCAGGACCAGGATGAAATCGTAACTAGTCTGCCGAACAGGCAGTGTCCTGAACAGGGACTGTTTTTTTAATAGGAAACATATGTAGTCCAGGACTTTGTCCTTGGAGTTATATATATACATATATATATATATACCAAAACTTTGTCCTTGGAGGTACAGATATATACATATATAGATAGATAGAAAAGTAGATAAATACTACAGATATGTAAATTGCTACCGATATATATTAGGATGTTGTCCTTGAAAATACATACTATAGCCAGGACTGCAAAAACGTGAGTCCCGGACAGGGAAACACCATAGCAGTGAAGGACGGAGGCAGGTGCTGTCGTCCGCTGCTGCTGCTGCTGCTGTTGCTGCTGCAAGGCGAGAAACCAACAGCCAGACATCTTGTTCGAAACTCACTCGAAACAGCAAAACACCACCTAATTTCGTGCCAAAATGGCGCAAAATCGCAACAAAAAAGTGCCTAACGTGTCTTCTGAAATCCTAGAGAATCCTA